CCAATTCAAATTCAGACAATAGAATGTATTTCATAAGCTCATCAGTCCATCTAGGTGGTGGCCATCCAGGATAAACTGTAAACAAGAGATCTGAAGCATCATTACAGACATAATGAGGATAATGATCCAAGAGGACGAGGGGAGCATGCCCCGGGTTTACCTATTAGTAATATCTTCAAATTGGTGGTTATGTTTTCAGGGTATTCAGGTTATTACTCACTGAAAGGAATCTCAAAGGCATAGACCACGCAGATACTGATAGACGGACATTCTGACTTTGTTTTGCATGACAGGACAAATCTGAAGTGTGCAGTAGGCTCACACTCATGGGAGTGAAGCGGGCCTCAGTGGAAAGCATGGGGGGTGGACAAGCACTGATTTTCTTGTCATTGTTATTTGTCTGAGTGAGAGAGAGAGAGAAGAAAAGAGAGAAAGAAGAAAGGGAGGAACATAACTGCTTTCTCCATGTCACAGAAGGAAAACTTCAGCTGCAGTCTGGGAATGCTGTTTGGGGTATCTCAGCAGAAACGGCTATTCACAGTGTCTGCACCATGGCCAGATAAATAGATGCCTAAGCCGCACTTTCCCAGGTCAGGAAAGAGGCAGTGAGAAGTATGACCCAGATGATGGGGAAGAATTGCTTCATTCAAACACACTGACTCTAAAGCTCTGCCCTACACCATTCTGTCCAGCCTCTGGGATGCCCTACACCATTCTGTCCAGCCTCTGGGATGCCCTACACCATTCTGTCCAGCCTCTGGGATGCCCTACACCATTCTGTCCAGCCTCTGGGATGCCCAAATGAGGCCACTATTAGTGCCCCACCTGGGGCCTCTCCTTTGGAGGCACATCTAATGTCTTCTGTCATGGACCCCCTCTTCTTTATTCCAATTTGACTGCTCTCTAGATCAAGCCATATTACAATCGTATTGAAAGAAACGAAGTCTGTGTCTTGATTAAAATGGAGACCGTGTCTTTCTCTAGCCTTCTGCACAGAGCCATAGCAGGTGCACAGCAGAGCTCAGTCTGAAACATGAACGTGACTCGATCGGCTTGAATGAGGTCTACAGTATGCTACTTAGCCATCTGTGGCTACTGAGAGCTGTCTGGGTTAGTAAAGTTTGCTTTATAGTTAATACTGTGGAAGGGACAGATGATAAACAAACAAAAGAACACTAGGAATCCTCCAGCACATATCTGGTTCAGATACCACGCTAGTGTCCGCATATTTCTCAGTCCCTTTACACCTGGGAACACAGCAAGAAGTGAACACACGGCGTTCCACTTCAACGGCGGAAGAAACAGCTAAAAGATAGGCAATGGGCCCAGCTAATAAATGACAAAGCCAAACATCTAACCTCTGATTATTAATTATGAATAGTAATATACTCTCTCCTAATATACTTTCCTCAGCTTCTATTTGCTAATTGTTACCTATTCTAGCTTCATCCTGTTGCTGTGATTAAAACAACAAACACACTTTGACAAAAATCCATTTAGAGGAGGAAAGGGTTAATTTCAGCGGACAGCTGACAGTCCATCTTCAGGGGAAGTCAGAGCAAGAACTCAAATCTGAAGCAGGGACAGCCAAGGACTGATGCTTTCAGGCTGGCTCACGGGTCTATGCTCAGCTAGTTTGTTGATACAGACTAAGACCATCTGTGCAGGGAAGGGTGCCGCCCACGATGGGCTGGGCCCTCCTCCTTCAATTAGCAATCAAGACAGTCCCCCTACAGACACGCCCACAAGCCAATCCTTCAATGGACACCCCCTTCTCAAGTGACTTTTGGCTGTGTCAAACTGATACTCAAGGCTAAGGAGGACACACTCCTCTGAGTTTTTCTAATGGAAACCTGACTTCCAGCCGGCTACTACATTAAGAGGAATTTAATAGCATAATTCAATGTTATTACCTTCTTAAAGGTGTTGGTTGCATTTGAAACAACTGTGGGATTAGGATGCAGACAGAGCTCCTTACTTGATTTTTAAAGTATAGTTTGTGGAGTGTGTGTGTGTGTGTGTGTGTGTGTGTGTGTGTGTGTGTGTACGTGAATGCAGGTTGAAGTCAGGGGTTCCCCTCTGTCACTCTCCACCTTAGTTTCTGAGACAGCCTCTTACTGAACCTGTAGCTCCTTTCTGCCTCAACCCCCAAGCCCTGGGCTTGCAGGTGTGCTCCCCCATACCCAGCTTGTTATGTGTGCACTGGGGGGTGAAAACTCGTCTTCTCATGATTGTAGAGCAGGCCCTGGACCCACTGAGCTACGTCTCCAGCCTCTAAGGACGAAGGCTTAGACATCACCTTAATAAGAGATATTCCAAAAGTGTTATCCCAGAAAAGGGGGTCAATGTTTTCAAGTGTGACATCTAACGTCGTCCCGGTTTTAGAAATTCTGAAATAAGAAGTCATGTGACTGCCCATTTCGGCAACATGGCAGAGTACGCTTGAAAAAAAAAATAGTGACAATGATTCAAAACCAAACCAAAGTCTCTCAAAACTTGTGTAAGTTTTGGAGGAAAAGAAACCTCTGTAAAGAAGCGATGTGTTCCTAAGTACATCTCACACACTAGAAGAGCACAAAGTATTGTGTCAACTGACGGCCTCGGGTGATGGTGTTGTTCTGTGACTCCGAGATAGAAAGTGATTGTCCGAACTTCTGGAGCGTGATCTGCCCTGTTGTGTTCTTTCCTTTTTCCTCTTAGTTTATAACACAGACAAGAATTCTGAGTTTTATCACAATGATTACTAAACAACGTGCTTTCTTTTCTTTTTTTAAAGACAGCTCTATTTTAAGGTAACGTGAAGCTTATAAAAAGAGGTTTTAAAATAGTGCAAACAATTCCAGACAGTCTTCACTCGGCTTCTCGCAGTGTCAGAATCTTGCATAACCAAAGCAATTATCTCTAGCCTAAGAAACTGCCCTTTCCATAAAGCTACAGGCTCCTGTTAGAGCGCACCAGTTTTTAATCTATTAATAGCCTTTTAAAAACACCGTGCCAGTGTCTAATGAGGATTTCATATCGGCAGATTGTGACCTGCCTTGGTGATCCAATCTCTAGTACTTCCTTTCTTTTGTTATTTTCACACTCCAAGGCTTTTGAAGGACACTGGCCAGTCATTTTGTGGAATACGCCTCTGTTTTGGTTTGCTTAGCATTTTCTCATGCTCAGACTGGGATTATGCATTACTAAGAAAATACCCACAAGTGATATATCCCCCATGACTGTATCAGATCAGGGTGCATGGTATAGATATATCTTGTTCTTGGTGGTACTCATTTTTGCCAGTTTTCTCCTCTGCAAACTTAAATATCCTATTTCTCCTGAAATTCATCCACTCAGTTCAATTTCTGCTTCCTTTTTGTTTGTTTATTTGAAAAGAGGTTTTGTTTTCTTTGGTTTTTTGAGACTGGGAGTTATATAGCCCAGGCTAGACTTGAACTTGTCATGAAGCCAAATGTGACCTTGACTTTCTGATCTTTCTGCCTCTACCTTCCCACTATGGTAATTACAGCATGTGTCACCATACCTAGCTTTATGGTTCTGGGATTGAACCAGGGCTTCAGACATGCTAGGCAAGGGCTCTACCAACTAAGTTACCATTCCCCACCCCTCACCATGAATTTTTCAATAAAGGAAACCCAATCCATTGATAATAAAAATTTATCAGTAACACCAAAAGCCAGACGTAACTGGTGATTTTTAAAATAAGCCAAGAGTGGAGAACTTTAGAATTGCTAAAGGCAGGGTATGTAAAGCCAAAACACCCTCAAAAGGGCACAGTTTGACATTCATAGCAAGAAAACCTCTCCTTTTCAATAGCTTGAACACAGAGCTGAAATACATGGGTAAGATGCGCAGAGAAGCAGACGGCATTCCAGACGGATCCCACACTTATCAGAGCTACATTATCATTTGTATTTCTGAACTTATTTCTGTATCAGTAAGTTATATGGTTCACAGATGGTTTAAAATCATATTTTCAGTGTTCATCAGATCAAGTACATAAAGAACTATAGGCGTTAGGGTTTTTGAGTCATTAAATTTTGGCAGACAGCTGAATGCCAATTATTTGATTGGTTTAATATTTTTTCCTCAACACTGGAGTATAAGATAAAATGTGCATTCCAGTTACACCATAAGACATGCTACGCCTTTGGGAGTGTTTACTTATCATTCACCATAGCCACAGAGCCCAAATATTCAGAAACACCAATCTCTTGGGATTTGAGGCTTATTTTTGTTTATTGGGACAAGAGCCACTGTGTATCCCTCAATGGCTTCTTGCTATAAAAACCTAACTGCCTTGAATGTGTAGAGGTCCTTTTGCTTCTGCCTCCCGGGTGCTGCCATGGCAAGCATGTGCTACCATGCATGTTTCATGAAACCAATCTTCAGAGAATTTCTTTGACTCTCTAAAAATGCCAACTGCATTGCCAAGGGGATATATTCAAAAGAATACCACTGTTGCATTATCACTTGGGGGAAAAAAAGCCAATCTACACAATTTACAGTTAATGCATGTCAAACACAAAAATACTGTGTTAATAGTGAACTAACTATTGAAAACTGATTTGGGACACTAAGAATATCAAAAGCTCACATCTATCCAGTGTTTCCAATGGGCTAGTCACTACATTGTATGACATTTAATTGCTAGAGCCATATGAACTATCAAAGAATGTGGCAGATACAGTATGTTGCCCTGCTTGCAAGTTAATCAGTTAGCCTTCTATCTTTTTATGGATGCTAGTAGAAGACAAGAGACTCTTGGGTCCAAGACAAGGGACGTTATTACTCACGGAAATAGAGGTAGCCAGAGCGCAGGCAGTTTCTTAAACCACTTCTCCAAGCTTCAGTTGCCACAGTGAATCCAAGGAGAGATGTAATGTGCATACAAATAGTGGGTTACATTACAGGCCAGAGACTCATTCAAATTCAGGAGAGCCGAATCTTGTAAAACGGATAGTAAGCACCCTGCCACTTCTTCTAGAGGGAGACACCATCACTATCCTCCAAGGCTATTTACCAGAAAGGACAGAGGCAATCAGGGCCTCTGCTCTCCTGACACACAGGAAGGTGAGACATCCATGAGGAATCGTCACCTGACATGATGAGGTACTGCAATCATTTCCCTTACAAATGAGGAACTTCAGGCTTGGAGACAATGGCTTTAATTTAAGAAGACTTTCAGTGAAGGCCTAGGCATTCACTTTCTTTCCAATGGGAATGTTTCATTATTTATCAGCTCATTTCATTTATTACATGAAGCATGAGCCCTATAAAGCCCAGGTTCTCAACCTGTGGGTCACGATCCCCACAGAGGTCACATTGCATGTCAGATATCCTGTATATCAGATATTTGCATTACAATTCATAACAGTGGGAAAGTTACAGTTATGGAATAGCAATAAAGTAATTTTATGGTTGGGGTCACCACGACGTGAGGAATTGTGTGAAAGGGGCGCAGCATTAGAAAGAACCACTGCGTAAGGTGTGATGGATGAACTCACAAACTGTAAGAGTTTTGGGCATAAAGATGTACCCTAAGATATGCTTTGTGTCGGGCATCTTGAAAAAATACATTGTGGTGTCACCTCTGGGATATCAACTTAAGGTGTGACTATAAACTTCATACGGTTTCACATCTTCTATACCTGCGGGAAGATATACTGCAGTAGGAAAAACATGATAAAGCCTCTGGGACCAGGTAGCATCAAGTTGTGATTCTGCTCTGGGCTGCTAACTCTTCTGAGGTGTTTCCCTGTGTGTGAACTAGGGGTCCCCTGCAGGTGAGCTCCCAGTACAGTGCTCTGACCCACAGCGTGCATGCAAGGCAGCCTTCCACAGTAGGAAGCAGTCCTAAGTTGGAGGGTGACAGTGAAGTCTCTAACTTTTATTGCTTTCCCAATTTGGAAAGTTCAAGAACAAACTCAGAAGGAGATTTTTAAGCCCTCCTTTTTCCCAAAAAAAGCCTTTTCAGGCACTGAGGCTGTGTCACATTGAATTCAACCCTTTTCATTCAGATTCATTTTAAACATGGAGTGAAAACGTTTCAAGCTGTCAAAGCACTCACTGTTAGCAACAGAATAGCTGTTGTTCTTTTAAAAGGTCTCCTAATGTTTCTCTTACGGACTTGAAGTGGGAGAGCTTCGATTTCTCTGAAAGGGATGTGAATAAAATCGTGTGGTCGAGACTAGTGCCTGCTGGAGCTCAGCCATCTACATGTGCCGCGGTCATGACTCTGAGCCTTACGACTTTGCGCAGGGATTGTGCTGTGTTTCCAGACGACTTTGTTGATTTTCCAGTGATTCATATGGGAGAGTGTGGAAGACGGAATTGTTTTTTTCACATTCACTTAAAAGTTACTGTGGTGGTATTGTGTTTCCCAAAGTATTGTGCACGCTAATAAATTTATCTGGGGTCAGAGACAGAACAGCCACAATATTGAACATAAGGATAGGCAGTGGTAGCGCACGCCTTTAATCCTAGCATTCCAGAGGCAGAAATCCATGTGTTCACGGATACAGCCAAGCATGGTGACTCACGCCTTTAATCCTAGGGAGTGATGGTAGAAAGCAGAAAGGTATATAAGGCGTGAGGGCCAGAAACTAGAAGCATTTGGCTTGGTTAAGCACTTGGCTGCTTAAGCTCTTAGGTTTTGAGCAGCACAGTTCAGCTGAAACCCATTCTGGATGAGGACTCAGAGGCCTCAAGTCTGAGGAGACAAGACCAGCTGAGGATCCGGCGAGGTGAGATAGCTGTGTCTTGTTCTGGTTCTCTGACCTTCCAGCATTCACCCCAATAACTGGCTCAGGTTTGATTTTATTAATAAGAACTTCAAAGATTCCTGCTACAAGTTACACCACAGACACCAGAGAAAAGCAAGAAAAATTGCCCGCTCAGTGGGCAGGCTGCTCCAGAGGAAGCGGCACGTTCAGCGAACAGTTGTGTATTCAGCAGCTGGGCCCTTGCATCCGTTGGTGGGTTCTTCCACCCTGTAAACTTTAATGATTTGCCCTCCTCACAGACTCCTGTCCACGCTTGCTTGATGCTGATTGGCTCCGAAAGCCTCTCAACTTTAACTAATAGCTGCAATCCAAATTAACAATAACCAGGGATGTATGGGAATGACGGGTGCATTCTGGTAATTCACTCCAAGCTGAGCTTGTTCTCTGCCTGAAATACAACTGTGGCTCCATGAAAAATTCTCAAAAACGTTGAATTTAAAATGAGCACTGGGTAGGATAAACAGTCGTTGAATAATACTTAAACTCCGCCATCTGGTATTCTAGTTTTTAATGTGCACTGAATTTCTTTTATTAGGTGCCTATTTGTGATTCTTTCTGTATAGACTTTTCTGCAGAAGGAGCTGAGTAAACTGGGGTGGGGTAGGAGTTATGATTCAGGACCACTTTTTTTTATAGAATGTTCTTACAGGGAAGCCCGGGGCCGTGAAAGCTCAGCTGCTTTCCCTAGGGGGCAACTAAAGAATCCCTGACCAAGTTGCCCTTAATTCAGAGAATTCATTTGTGAGACTCCATATGGGTGGTGTGTGTGGAGGGGAAGGAAAGAGTCCCTTGGGGAAGGAGGGATGAAGGGAGGGCCCAGAGACAGTAAACAAATAGAAATGACTAGCAGTACACAAGCATAGCCTTTAGTGGGGGGGGGGGAGGGGATTGGGAGAGCATATATAGAATTTGGGGGGAAAATGAGTTGGTATTATGAAAGGATCGTCACACTTGTAAAAGCAATAATTCATTTTTTAAAATTATTTTAATTAAATAATTAAATTGGGCCTGGAGAGATGGCTCAGAGGTTCAGATCGAGGTCTGCTCTTCCAGAGGACCTAAGTTCAGTTCCCAGCACCATTTGGGTTGCTCACGGCCACCTACAGCTCCAGTTCCACTGAGTCTCAAGCCTCTGGCCTCTGTGGGCTCCTGCTTGCACACACACAAACTCGCACACATTCACATATAATTTAAACTAAAAGAGATATTTAAAGTGAATGCTCTTTTCTGAAAGTCGTACACTGAGCCAGCCACTCCTGTGATTTAACATGGCGTTTGTATGAGAGATGCCTTTCTTCCTGATGTGTGAGGTTCCACATCAGCTTACCCAGAAGAGGCACATGACAACAATCATGAACTATACGAAGCTCCCTGACAGAAACCTTTCCACATGCCTTATCCCGTTTGATTGACACAGAGCAGAGCTGAGCGGCTCGGCCCCGTTCGACATCTCACCGGCAGGGTCAGCCACTGAGTGACAGAGCCTTCAGGTCAGTTCTCGTTTTCAAAATTTCAACTCTAATTCTTACGTTTCAAATTAGCACTAACCAAAGTGGGAAAGATAGGCTGCCTGAGCTGCAAGGAAAGCCGCGATCTACCTGGAAGGTGTCTTCTGACAATTACAACTGAGCTGCCTGCGGAAATTTGATTCTGATACCAACTCAGAAACAGAGCCTGTAATCTCCACAAACTGACAGCAAGGCCCCATGGCTGAAGATAACACACACACACACACACACACACACACACACACACACACACATCTCATTGAACACAGAGAAGTCAAGCTGGTGCCTCCATAGAGCCTTCACTCTTGTGTTCTAGAATCTTTGGTACAGGAAGGTATTCTGCACACTGTCAAAAGAGAAATGTAAACACCACAGAGGCCACCAAACCTCTGATCTATACTTTGTCCTGCCTGCAAGATATACTAGTGCCAATGTGGCACAAAGCTTGTGGGAGTCACCAACCAATGTCTGGTTTAATTTAAGACCCGCTCCACAGGATGGAACCCATACCCGACACCGCTTAAGCGACCAAGAACCTGAGACTATATAGTCTGGGGACCTAGAATAAAACCAAGTACTATTGTTCTTAATAATAATAATTTTAAAAGCAGCAATAAAATGACTCCTAATGACATTCAGAAGTCAGTGCCTTGTTCAGCTATAATCAGAGAAATTTCCTTTGTTGGCAGATAGGAACAGATACAGAGGCCCACAGCCAGACCTTATGTAGATAATGAAAGACGTTGGAATACTCAGCCCTAAAGGGAATGTCTCCATCAAATCCTTCCCCCTGCAGAACTTGCAGAAGAGGAGGTAGAAAGGGTATACAAGCCAGAAGGGATGGAGGACACCAAGAAAACAAGGTTGTCTAAACTCGTGTGGACCTCACAGAGACAGAAGCATCAAGCACAGGGCCTGCACAGGTCTGCACCAGGTCCTCTGCATGTATACTATGGCTCCCAGTTAAGTGGTTTTATGGGATTCCTAAGTATACAAATAAGTGGGTCTCGGATTCTTGTGCCTTCTCTTGGGCTCTTTTCCTTCTATTGGTTTGTCTTGTCCAATTTTAATGTCATAGTTTTTGCTTTATCTTATTTTTTTATTTTGTTATATTTTACTATTATCTCTTAGAAGCCTGTTGTTCTCCAGTGACAGACAGAAAGGGAGTGGATCCAGATGGAAGAGGGGTTGGGAGGAACTGGGAGGAGCAGAGGGAGGGGAACCATAATCAGGATACATGATGTGAGAAAAGAACCTATTTTCAATAAAATGAAAAAGTAAAACAAACAAATAAATAATAGAACCTGGAGCTGGCCGTGTGTGTGTGTGTGTGTGTGTGTGTGTGTGTGAGAGAGAGAGAGAGAGAGAGAGAGAGAGAGAGACAGACAGACAGACAGACAGACAGACAGACAGACAGACAGACAGACAGAAGGACAGAGAGAGGGACAGAGACACAGAGAGCTTCCTGAATGAACACAAAAGAAACAGTGGAATCCAGACTTCCCCCTTAAGGTCTCTAACCCATTGCCTCTATGAAATCTGAGTTTGGTTAGAAGTTTTCTAGGTCTTTTTTAGTTCTATCAGACCGAATGTCAAGGATGACTGGAAGAATCCACTGTTTATATATCAATAATATTATAGTGGCTTAGCAATACAATGCTAGTTACATAATTTTCTAATAGTGTTTAGGAAAAAGATAATATAAGCCTTTACTAAATAGTTATTAAAGCACTTTACCATACTAATTTCTACAGGAAATTGTGCCAAATATGGTAGGAAGAGCAAAGCATGAACCAAGAAGCTCCTCTCCTCTCAACAG